GTGTGTGTGTGTGTGTGTGTGTGTGTGTGTGTGTGTGTGTGTGTGTGATGTTTAAGTATATTTCAACAAGTAGGGACCAGCTACTGAGTGGAAATAGTGTGTGTGAAACTGTAAGTCTTACAGCTGTAGATGTTGAGGATTGCTGTGATGGGCCTCCAAAGCTGAAGCAAGAAGAAATGTGGTGCAGGTTTTGGAGTTCCTTTCAGACATCTGAAACACAAATGTCAAACTGTAGAAAGCGGTTCAATTGTGTGTATATTCCAGTCATACTTGACCACGAGTGGCGCTGTAGAACTATGTTTTCATGAAGAGGTGCTGTTATTGTTTCCTTTTTCTGTGTTACAGACATGAATGTGCAAAATGTCTGCGCACAAAGGGCCCTCCTTGTGAGAAACCGTGAATATAGACAAAGTTGTGCATGTCTATAATGGAAACTCCACAGGGTACCTTTTTTTTAAATGTCAAACTGCCAGCGATCGGGTTGTTTTCGATATTCCACGTGTGTATATGAACACCACATGTACCATGGTGTGTTCTAATTAGCCAGACCCCACCGCGTGTGGAGGATGAGCTGAGGTTGGGTTAACCCACAGGCAACAGGCCATCTGTAGGAACCTCACTAGCACTCAACAATGATGGCAGGGAGGCACATGCAGTTCACTCCCTGGTAGGGCAGCAGCAAGCAGGACTTGACAGGACCGGTAGAAGGCAGGCTGAAAAACACCCAAACACCTGTCAACCAGTCATAGAAGCCGTTGTAAGCCACTAAAGCTGAACAGTGACTTGATCGACACCTGAGTTTTTGCCTTTGGGATGTTGTGAAAAATCTGCTTGGAAAGTATAAGTGCAAATGCACTGTGTGATTTAAGGATTTCATACCAATTCGATAAGTGTGTCAGTTTTCCAGAAGGAAAATACCGTGTTCCTCTTATGCAGTTTGTTTCAAACGTTGTCTGAATTTCTTTTTACTTTGTCCACATTCCCTGTTTGTCCTCTACATATTCTATTCTTTGTTAGTGTTGTCTCTGACTGCTTCAGTGTGTTCCTGCTCTGTCCACAGGTATTGGTCCAGTGCTCGGTCTCCTATTCATCCCTCTGATTGGCTCTGCCAGTGACCACTGCCACAGCAGTTATGGCAGACGACGGCCTTTCATCTGGCTGCTGTCTTTCGGGGTCCTTCTGGCACTTTTCATCATTCCACACGCCGACATACTGGCTGCAAGCCTTGCCTGGGGAGGCCGCACCTTCCAGGTAGGATACCGGTTTATGGTTTGTTATTGTCAGCATTTTGGTGAATTCTACCTACAAAGCACACAAGACAAGAAATGAAAGCGTGTTCTACCATTTGCTACAGGTGGGCTTCCTTATCCTTGGGGTGGGGCTCCTTGACTTTTGTGGACAAGTGTGCTTCACACCACTGGAGGCTCTTTTGTCGGACCTGTATCGGGACGAGGAGGACTACAACCAAGCCTTTGCCATGTTCTCCTGCATGGTCAGCTTGGGAGGCTGTGTGGGCTATCTGCTCCCAGCACTGGACTGGAGCCGTGGCCTGCTCTCTGCTTACCTAGGAGGCCAGGCCGAGTGCCTCTTCTCCCTTCTCACCCTCATCTTCATCTCCAGTGTGCTCATCACCATGAAGGTGTCTGAGGAACCCTCGTGCGCCAGCAGTAGCTTGGCGGGTTCCGGATCTCTACTGGAGCCGGGAGCCGGTACGATAGAGGCCGACCGGTGCGGTGTGCCGCGCTCATGCTGCTACCTGCTGAAGTGCAAACTGAGGTTGCTGAAGTCTGGACCCTTGCTGTGCCCGCTGAGAACATGCTGGTCCATGACCCCGGCCATCTACAGGAGCTACTGCCATGTCCCGCGGGTGATGATGCAGCTGTGCGTGGCTCAGCTATGCAGCTGGATAGCTGTCATGTCTTTTATGCTTTTCTACACAGACTTTGTGGGGGTAGGCCTGTACGAGGGCGTGCCCAGTGCGTTACCAGGAAGTGTGTCCAAGCAAAGATATGCGGAAGGTCAGATTTCCTCTTTATACAATATAATAACGTCATGTGTTATGCGAGCTCATTTCCTTTGCCTTCAAAAACAAATTGTTAGCTTATTGAGGTACACACACTAGATATTGTGAGATTGTGCCTCCATTAATCTCATCATTTAGATTTTTTTAAAAGATATCACCAAGAAAACAATGAATTACCGATAGCATAGTAGGAAACAAACGTCCGTTTCGCTAGTGAGACTCGACACATGTCCTACCTTTGTCATAAAGGCTTTAGCTCCACCTCCTGTCCACGTGAACTGGCTTAGGCTCCATCCTGGCTACGCTGTCTGCTCTGTCACAGCTGGCCGGGATGCACTCGCATTCCTCGGGCACAGGTGGAGGACAGAGGCGGAGCCTGTGTTCCTGCATGCCTACAAGCATTTTGGTCTCCTGTCAAAATATAGGACGCATACAAAAAAGACTAACATAGGCTCTGACGCAAGACTTTTCATGAGATGGTTACCATTTTGTGACGTTATGCCACTGAACAAGTACCAAATCCTTTGGGTAAGTGTGCCTAAGCCAATGTCAAGCCAATCCAAAGAATGTCAGGTATTTCTTCCCACCCCTGCGCTCTGGAAATAGCAAACAAATGCAGAGTATTCATCCTTTCCTGTTCCTGCTCTGTAAATCACAGAGTTGACACTAATCCCGTTGATAGTTGTATGGCTATATTTTATTGCTCTGCCAATGCTTAGCTGTGTGGTTCTACCTAAATATAACCTCTTAGACAGACCGGACCAAATCTGTAGTGTCAGTGGTGTAAGAGGGAGACTTCTGTCTTTGGTATATTTTACCAGACAATCCTTGAGAAAGAACAGTAAAGAGGAAGAATGTCACCGAGGTAAACGATGTGAGACGGAACATCTTGTCCAGGCTGAGAAGTCGCAGATGTATTAATATAGTGGGGTCGTGTCTGAGTTAAGTGTTTTTAAGTCTCTTGTTGTTTACTGTCTAGCCAGACTGATCATCTTCCACCACATGTCTCTTCCTTCTTTTTGCTGAGCTATGTAGTTTTCTGCTTCCCTTTTCATTTGATCAATCTTTTCCTCCTACTGTCCACCTGTTTTCTCATCCCCTAATCCTCATACTCAACCTCTGTGCTCTAACACCATTCTCTCTCTTTCATTCGACATTTTTATCCCTCCATCCACATTCTTTTCTCCTCCCTCCTTCTCCAACTCAATCTCCCTGCCCACTTTGTTTACATTTTTTACTTTTCCTCCGTCTCTCCTCCCTGTGCTTGCTGGACCACGAGGAATGTCACACTCACAAAGAATTAATGTCAAGGAATCAGCACACAAAAGACGTGTTCATTCAAGTCCTGTAGACGGACAAAGCCCACAACTCTGAGGTCTGTCTGAGCTGCATTTGTTTAATGTGAAACTCAGCGGATGTAATTAAACCTGCAGATGTTCCTCTGCATCAAGGTAATCTGCTTTGTCTGTAGTTGCATTCACTTTTTTTTTACTACACTGTTAACTGTAACTGCTTCTTTTTTTTTTTTTTTTTTTTTAAGTGATCATCTCTCCTACTATTCTGTAATGCAAAGTGAAGCTCGTACTACAGAATCGTCCATTTTCCCACACTGCAACAGTTCTCCTGTCCACAGATTCAGTAGCATTCTGGTTCCGTCCTAATATCTCGGAGGGCTTGAATTTCGGTCCTCATTAGCTTCTGTAGTGTTTGTAAAGTGGGCTTTCCAAGAGTAATATGATCCACTTACTCCGTTCACATAAGTGATTCTCTGCTCTGCTGTTAAACCTTTGACCCACGCTGTTCACGGTGAGCGCGCTGGGAGATCAGGCCGATAGCAGGCAGAAATAAGACATGTCGTCACTCCAGCTTCCAGGCATGAAAACTTTAATTAAAGGGTGAAATAATTGTGGTTTAACCGGGAACATTGTTACAAATGGAACAATTTTCCCGCAGCTAAAAAAAATCCCATAGTTGACTAAAATGTTTAAAAAAATGTTGTCATTAATGGAAAAATAAATTTAATAAATTAAATTTATTTTTGCAGTTATTTCAAAGAGAGAATGCAAACACTTGTAGGACTGTACTGTACTGGAGAACCACACACACATTTACTTTATTTCTTTTACTCATTTAAAGAACATTATCTTTACCTCTAGCAGTTGTGACTGTTTCACATAATGGTTTTTCTTCACTGTTAATTCGATATTCAGAGCATTAATAGAGCAGCAAACAACTATTTGCAATGTAGAGATATAGTGGAGTAATGTCTACCTGAGCCCTCCTTCTGTGTCTGTTGTAATCTGAGCTTCTCAGTGCTTTGTTCTCATAGCCGGCCGGCTGCTCGTGCCTTTTAGTGCATGAGTGTGCCCCACTGGCTAGCTAATGGCTGCGCTCTGCCCTGCGCTCATATGGCGCTTACAGCTGATAATGCTGTCTCAACTGACGGTGTTGTCACAGAACTGTAGAGCCCACCCTCCGGCCGTGGTGGCTCACAACATTGTCACTGATAAATGTCCGTAAAGACGGTAGCTGGCTGTTAATGTCATTCATTTAAAAATTTAAAATATTTTGACGCCATGCAGCAGGCTATTTAAATTCATCTTATTTTGCCTAATCTAAGGCTGCAACTCTTTCTCTGTTTGAACTTAAAATTCTGCCTCGGTCAGGTGGTGAGACCTCATCCAAATGCTTGTTGTTTGGCTGGCTGATGGGGCCAGACTCGGGCCACGGTGCACATTGCCTCAGTAAACAAGTACCGGTGTGTGTGTGTGTGTGTGTGTGTGTGTGTGTGTGTGTGTGTGTGTGCAGAGTGCCATGAATGTCTCTTTGTGTTTATGGGCTAAACAGTAAAGTTTTAGCTCATCCAAATAGCTGTAAATGCTTCACAGTTTAAAGTTGACATAAGGTTGGCTATGCATGCTGTGCAGCATTCACTAGATGGGGCCATAAAAAGAAATGATCAGAGCTAATGCAGATGTCAGATAGTTTCTGTACTGACAACAAGATGGGGACAATGGTTCAATCATCGTTACAGCTATGTCACCTACAGAGGATGTCTGAGAGAAGCTATGAGTTTAATGGGCTCAAATGCCATTTTGTTTTTTGTTTTTCTTTCAGGTATCCGTATGGGCAGTATGGGCCTGTTCTTGCAATGTGCTACCTCAACCTTCTTCTCCCTGATCATGAGCCGTTTGGTTCGCCATTTTGGCTCACGGTGGGTCTACATCAGCAGTATGGTGAGCTTCACAGTCTCTGCTTTGGTCATCTGCCTGTCCAAAAGTGTGGTCTTGGTCACTATAATGGCGTCCCTCACTGGCTATGCGTACGCCACACTGCAGACTCTGCCCTACACACTCACCTGTATGTACCACAAGGAGAAGGAGGTAAGATAACTGTTAATAACTCTGACACAATGATGCATGTGCGTTGACAAAATCTGTATGATTGATGAGTTGACCCTTTTCTTTGTCTCATTTCAGGTCTATATGCCAAAAAGGAATGCCCAAAGCGCGCATAAAAATGGTGTTACAACCAAGCGGGACTCTGTGTATTTGACTCCTGTGGAAGAGGAGGGCAGACTGAACCACAACCCGGGGACTCCCTACGGGCATGCCTTCTTCAGCCAGAATGGCTCATCTCACAGCTCCGGTGGCGCCGAACAGGAGGAGATCGAGACGGGGTTTGAGAAACGCGGCGTGGGTTTGGACTTTGCCATCTTAGACAGCACCTTCCTCCTCTCTCAGGTTTTCCCCACACTCTTCATGGGCATGATCGTTCAGTTCGCCCAGTCCGTCACTGCCTATATCGCCTGCTCCGTCATCTTCGGTGCTGTCGCCAGCTACTTGGCCAGTCGAATCATCTTTGACCAAAAGGACCTTAAAAACTGAGACTTGGATGCAAAAGATCTGGAGGCGATGGAATCACAAATAATCGCTCAATCATTCAGGTTCCACAGGGCGAAACTCAACGATGCACTACTGTTTCCAGAATGCCTTGCTCTAGTTCCGTGTGTTTGCACTTATGAAAGGACTGCGTTGGGGAAGTGATGGTCAGGTTATGAGAGAAAGCAGTTGCCGTGAAGGGGCAGGTATTGCCACCCGAAGGTACACCACGGGTAGTGTACTCTCCTGAATGCAATTGTATTCTATAGAAATCTCTCTAAAATGCTTTTGTTGTGATCTTTTCTATCCATCGTCTCTTTCCTCAGGTACCACAAACAGATTTACTGTAGAACTCAACCTCATATACACACCTTCTTAGCTTTTAATGGGTTTTTTAGTGATTTTATCCCGAGTGATCTGCACTTTTTAATAGTAGTCTGTTTTTAATTCTCAAAACAACATATTCAACACGGTGTTTATTTGTACAAACTCATCTGCAGCATCACTAAGCCAGTCTGGAGACTATTCATCATTTTATTTAGACAGGCCTGTCTTTATTTAACGAAAGAATGAACAGATTTATTCATGGTTTCTACCTGTTCAGAAAATAGAATTACAAGTGGGACCATTGGACTTGTCCATACAAGATGAAAAACACACTTAAAGGGGCAGTCCGGTGATCTAGTATTGCCTAGATTTCTCATAATACAACTCTATATCATCTTTCATCAGACCTTCCCAACCTGTTTTTAAAGGGCCAGTGTGTAGCATTTCGGTTACCTTCCACGAGAGCTGGATTCTAGCGATGTCTCAAGATCACGCGAAATTTGATCTCGTCAGGCTTCATGTAATGCGTTTGTGTCTCAGATGGACAGTTGTCAAGCTAAACAGTGGCCTTTGGCGTTTACCTGAAGGCCCCTGTTGTTTTCCAACATGCTTGAGAAACTGCGATAACAATTTCTGCTGAGTGCAATGCCGTTTGACTTCCGTCGCTCCGAAAGTAGTGTTATTGTGGTAACGATGGGGCGGCTCACGTTACCGCAGACTTGGAAAGGGAGGAGTGAGCGGAGGGAGGGCTGTTCGGTTGGTGGCCGCCGCCTGCAGCCACACCGCTAGATTCCGCCAAATCCTACACACGACCCTTTAAGTGCCGTCATCTTTTAAACCCTTTGCCCTCAGTTTGAAGTGCAGTTTTTCTTTCAACTAAATGAAATAATTTAAGATAATCCTGATGACATCACACATCAGGGTTGTTTCCCCAGACTTAACAAAGCCCCTCCAGAGCCGCAGAGGACATTATACAACAGTCTCCACATGCGGAGTTATGTATACCCCTTTAAAAAAAACTCAGCTCTACTCTGATTTTGGGCCCCTTTTTCTGCGTTCCGCCCATCTAGTGCCATCTATTAATTAATGAACAGTTTAACTGTAAATATTTTGTATACAAATTTACAGTATATCCCTATGGGAGTTTTGTTATGCAACCTGTTGAGGTGAGGTTATCAACTATGGTGGTTTAAGAATGAAGCTGCTTACTAGAACTGGAAGTGTTGCATCTAACCAAGAATAATCTAGTCTAGTTGACTCCTCATCTTATCCAACTATGCTCCTGATCAGGACAGTCGTCTCAGGTTAGTACATTGTTTTAGTGTCCCATCCTGTCCTTTTTAAGCCACTCATTAAAATGAAAAACCACCTTTCCCTTCTGCATGTTCTACTGTATTCTCAAATGACAATCTAGGACATCCAGATGGGCTGGTTACATGATGCTGTATGTAAACATACATGTTTGAGCCAAGCTCGCTTCATGGCACCCATTCCTGAAAGACCAAAAAAAAAGTAATGCAGTAAATGGAAATATTTAGTTACTGAAAAATGATGCGAGAGTAGGCACTATATTGATGGGAGTAGATCTGAGGTGTGTGCGCGCGCTTGTCTGTGTCCGTCTGTCTTTGTGTGTGGAGGGGGGGGGGGGGTACATAACATGGAGGACAGACTGGGTAATGTTTAAAAGTGATATGACTCACGTGTGTGAAGGATTTTTTTCACACCACTCATTATAAGCTGTAATGGCTTGAACCTGGCCCATGTGATGCTGTATGTTACATTGTATTGTGGCCTTCAGTTGAGCTTTTGAATTTGGCCGGTTGGTCTAAACGCCGTGCTTGTTTCGCAACAGCTAAGTGAGTTCATTTGAGCATTTTATATCCAGGTTGTCTCCGCAGATACAAATAGTCCTGAAGGATCTCACTGCCTGAGGTGTGCTCAGCAGGAGGGAAGTAAAAACGGCAGAGGATTTGTTTGTCATGTCGACACCACTGCAGTAAATAAAACTCAAGCAACTGCATTCTCCTTTTCACCCGGAAATCCAGGGGAAACATTTTGTCTAGCAGTAGCTGAAGTGTCTGAAAAAAAAGTTGTTTTACAAGTGCCTGTACATTTTTCAACCACTTTTTTTTTTTTTTTTTGTACATATGTATTTATTTATAATGCTTTTATTACAAAGTAGCGCGTATTAAACTATTGGCCTCGTCTCTTTCATTGGTGCAAGGGCGAAGGCTGTTTCTGTGAAAAAGATAAATTATTTGTATAGATGTGATATAGAAGCATCATCAAACTGTAATTTATTTTATCATTACCTGCTTTATCCTGTAACTTTAACATCTCGGAGCGTATTGCAGATCAGAAAACTGAAAGTTATTCCTGTGGTCATACAGCCTGTATCAGCTGAAAACTTTATTCCTGTCACACAACTGCTTTGTGTTCATCATTTTGTCAATACTGCCTTATCGTGATCATATATAACCACGTATTCCCTCTCATCGGAGAGCCGTGTTTGTGTTAAACTAATTAACTGGACGGGTGGCGTTTTCTGTCCCTTTTGCTCTCAACCAAATGTCTTGTTTAATTTCAGACAAAAGAAGTGCCAATGGTCCGACTATGTTAAGGCCAGAAGTCATTGTGTTTTGCTGTGATTGATCAGGTTTTTTTTCATCTGTGTTATCATAAATGCAGTCGGCCATATTTAAAAAAGTGTATTTCATTTTCATTATACATCCATCAGATTGTGTATGAATATGCAGTTTACCAAGTAGATTTTATACAAAATAAAAACTGCATTGTTAATGAGATGTCTGAGTACATTTTTGAAACGCATTCTCCTTTACATTAAAAAACAGATGCGTTATTGGTCATTCTTGAATACCGTATTTCAACTTAAAATATGAAGGAAGGTGTTCACTTTGTTTAACAATTTTAATAAATTCAATCTGAAGTGCATCACTTATCACACATACACATCATTGTAAGTGTTTTGTATTATGAAATGTCCAAAGATCTCTTTGGAGTTTGGTCTCCTGACAACGAAGCGCTGAGCGGTTAAAATGACCTTGGAAATGGTGCCATCCTTTGGAAATCTTGGGGAACTGATGTGTGCAAGAGCGACCGCTGCTGCGCAACTGCACTGGCGTCACTGACGCATGGGCATGCTGCTGGTGGCATTATCTATTACATGGAAAAGACGATAGGCTTTCATGTTGCAGGGAATGGCATGCTGACAATGTGTGTCATTTGATGACGCGCCTCTCCAGTTTGCTCCTCATAGTTCTCACGAGTGCACCGTGCGAAATGCACGGTTTATGATGTACTGTAAAAAAAATATGATACTTTATAAAAATGCCGGTCTGGGCCTCCGTTACCCAACCGCTGTTTAGAGCCGCGGGGGAGTGGGTGTCTTGCTCAAGGACACGTCAGCAGGGTTGATGCTGGCCGACACGGAGGTCTCGAACCCTGATCTCAGCGGCCGAGGGTTGGTGGCTCTCTCTCTGGTCCAGCATTGTGTGCCCGGAAAAACACAGATTCTTGAACGGCGCAGAAGAAGAAATGAGATCACGAGAGCCCTGTCATTGCTCTCCGGTGACAAGTGGGCCTGTTTTTACACCTTCCTTCTAAATAAGGAAACGGCCTGACAGGCATATGACCATCGACCCAATTTGGGAGCAGCCCCTGTGCCCCTTCGCGTCCCACGGCCACTGAACGCCACCAATGAGCTTTCTCCGCTTCGAGTCCAGCAGTGATAGGGGGCTCCCCCCACCCCCCAACTCTCCACAGACTTTGGTATTTTTCCTGCTGTCAGCACCCTCTCTACCCTTGTATTGTCCCAGCGGCGAAGTCGGCATGATGTCATCTTGGGATGCGACGATAGCCCTGACAAGGTTGAAACTGGGTTTTTGGTGAGTGGTGGAGGATTTATTCTGAACTATTACTGAGAAGGAGACAGAGGGGGGAAGAGAGAGAGAAAGAGGGAGTGTGTGTGTGAGAGAGAGAGAGAGGCGCAGAAGAGCTGCAAAACATGGTAATCACCACCACCAACCTCACCATCACCATCACCTCCAGCTCTGCCGCGCACTCTCCCGTCTCCTCTCCTCCTCTGCACCGGGGCTTACGTTTCATGCCCAAAGCCCTGATCCGCGCTCCCAAAATAACCCTCAGCCAGCATGCCGAAGGAAGCAAAACAAGAAGAGCGGTATTTTTAGGGTCATTAATTTCAACCACGTGGCCCGAAGGTAAACCGGATGGCCGTTGCGCAAAGGCTCCTCGTCAGTATGTCCTGCGAGGCCGGCACGCCGCACTGGACGCTGACCGCGGTGGTTCTCGTGGGCTTTCTACTGGGGATCGTGTCAGCGTACCCTTTACCGAGCAGCAGGACAAATGCAACTTTACTGGAGAAACGATGGGAGACCCTCTTCTCCCGCTCTGTATTGGGGATCTCTGGGGAGAAACCGGAGCAGAACTGGGAGAATGACTATCTGCTGGGCATCAAAAGAGTGCGGAGGCTCTACTGCAACGTGGGCATCGGGTTTCACCTTCAGGTCCTCCCCGACGGAAGGATAAACGGTGTACATAATGAAAACCAGTACAGTGAGTTTTACCTCCAATGTAATGCAATAGACATAAAAGACCGGCAGAGTCAATAAGCATGGATCTGTGATGAGCAGGCTAGTCTATCCCCTCTTTTCATTTGCATGATCATATGTCATCCGACTCTGGAGGACTAGCATAATTTCTTCCACGGCAAATACAAATCTATTAAAAAAGAAGTATCCATCAGTGCTGAGCACCCCCCCCCCCCCTCCTCCCCAAGCTCAACCATGACATGAATGTATGGACGCTTTTAGACACAACTTATTTTTACGCAGCCCCGTGAGTGCGGTCTGGAGACCCAATAGCCGTGCACGTCAATGCAATTACTGCAATTATTGCAATAACAAGAATGCGCTTAATTGGCACGCGCCTGGGTGCAAATGTAAGATGGGGTGAAGGATGCAGAACAAAGGCTCGGCATGCTGCGCAGCAATCTGCAAGGTTACACCCATAGACGCAGAGAGAGAGAGAGAGAAAGAGAGAAAGAGACAGCACAATGCTACTGAACACTGAATCAGCCAGGATGATCGGTTGGTATTTCATTTTTTTATTTTCACTCTAATGCAATAATTCTTTGTCTTGTATCAGGTCTAATAGAGATCTCTACGGTGGACAGAGGAGTGGTGAGCCTATATGGGGTGAGGAGTGAGTTGTTTGTCGCAATGAACAGCCGTGGAAGGTTATACGGAACGGTAGGTATGCACACTATTTCATTTATTGTCCAGCAATGTTGGTTAATGGGATCCTGGAATTAGGACGCACTTGCAGCTCAATCCACCTTTTTTTTTTGCCAGTCATATTTTGGGATGCCGCCCTATCTGTCAGTAGGGGGGCTGCTCATTATATGTTGCGAAATCCCTATATTTTATTTTCATCAGGAATGTATGAAGCTCTATTTAAAGCAAGTGTGCTGGGCCTGGTGCCCTATGGGTAAATAATGATGAGGTTAACAGATGCAGGGTTCAGTCCACACACTTGGAGGAGGGGGAGGGGGAGGAGGAGGGAAAACCCCCTAACGCAATGTAACCTGTCAGCAGAGCTGGAAATCGATTTTAACGGCAAAGCGCTTATTTTGCAGGGCAGTGCACATCACACACATCCTGGGAGGCAAAGGCCCAACTCACCTAACAGCAGCTCCTCCCACCTCCAACATAAAAAAAAAAAAAAAAAATCTGAGACAGGCATTTCAATTTCTAGTTCATAGCAGTGGCGATTTTGGTATGACAAATGTTGGTGGGGCCACACAATATTCATACAAGAATATTTGATAATGCAATCCAAACATATAGATACATCACATCAATCCATACTCTCACAACCAATAAACTGCGCGCAAGTCAGAGAGGGGAGACACTGCGATTGCTGTGACCAACAGAGATGAAACAATTCCAGCCGAATAATGGCATCTAAAGTCACCCAATGAAGATCTGACGACATATTTTACCATACCAACACGTATGACCATCAAAGGATAATGTTAAAGAACATCAAATAGCCTACTCGGCAACGAAAGGTGCATTTGTCATCTTTAGAGCAACCTCATCCTTGTAAGCATTGTACATACAATCCGAAAGTTCATTTTCAATAATGGCTGAAGTGCCCTTAAAATAGGATCGAGTATGGTAATGGTTCCTTAGTCTGGAGTCTCCCTCCCGCATAGTCTCAAATATGCGTTTTAAAGTGCCAGAGCCACCAGAATTTCGCACATTCCACAAAGTTTTAGACAGGTTAGAATTCTGGCAAGAACATACCTGTTTTCTTCAGTCTGACGGTTGTATTCTTCAACGCCACCTCTGTACGCACCGTCAAGCTGAGAGGCCGCGTACGTTGTTCCCAGTAGGCCTAACTCGATGGCATTATCCACATGCGATTGCTGTCCAGACAGTTTCCACTATGAAAAGAAGACATGGAAAGCAACATGCTAGCCGTTAACCAAGTTTGCCGTATGAACCACTCGTGGTTGAATTCTCTTTTTTTATCCTTTCCGTCTTGAGATATGATTAAGTCATCCGGTCGATGTGGTCCCAAACGTTTTATTTCCAATTTTTGGTATAGGGGTAAAGTTTTAAATCATACTGTAGTTAAATAATACGAGTCATCACTACTGTTGTAACGTTAACGTAAGTACAATATCAGTCGCTCTTTAGCTAGCTAGCAAGACGTGCACACCCTTGCACCATTAAAATCAACCAATGGGATGCTTTCTAGGGACCCTGGCCATCAAGCCCCACTCACGATCTGAAAGTTCACGTTGAACGCGTGCTTACCAAAATGCAGTTGAGCTTGTTACTGAGAAGCACCCAATGCTGCAAAACATAGTACTGAGTGTAAATTTGCATGTATGCACAACAGCGTTAACATTTTGCATATATCTTTGATGCATCCTCAAAAAACAGCTGGATTTGAAACATGGTAACCCTGGTCTGATCCTGGTTATATCACTATAGCTTAATAACAATGATGTGGCTATCACGGATAAAGGCTTTTATAGGTATAAGAGCAGTGAGGATTTAACATATTTCTCAGCATTGTTACTGACCTGTCAGTTTTTATCTTTGGGTTTTAAATGGCTGAGGTACATACATCAATATTTATTTAATTTTAGAATTTCTGTTTGTTTGCTTCTGGAGCATTGACAGCTATTAATATATAAATGTTGCTGGTGCTGGGGGAGGAAACATTGTGTTTAGCCTGCTGACACATAGCCACTGGTTTGCCCGCTGTGGCCAACATATTTGACAGACGCAATGTGAGTCCCTTATCTGGTCATGAGTGATGAAGCGTTAGCTCGTGAGTCGGCTGATGATCTGATAAGAGATTGAATTAGGCCACATGACTTCTGATGTATTTGCTCTGCTGCTGCACACTGTACAAGTCACACACTGTCAGCACTGTAGCAGGGCAGTCGTATTGTTCTTAAGTGACAGATGTGTGTATTTACAGATTATCTTATATAGCGGAATTTAAGATATAAGGTGTTATGTATTGATATAGTGAGCTTTAGAGGTGCCGGTAGGCCTATTTTGTGAACTTTGGATACAGCCAGGCTACTGCTTCAAGTCTTTAAGCTAAGCTAAGCGTCTCCTGGTTGCAGCTTCATATTTACCATCAATTTTATCTTCTAACTCTTTGCAAATCTCTCAAAATGTAAATCTATTTCTTTAAGTTCTGCAGTTTAGTCAAATTTAAGTGCAGTTTTTTTTTCCTGTGAATACACCATCCCTCCAAAGAGTTTCCTTTCGTGTGTTGAATATCAGCACATTTAGTAGTAGATGTGGCTCACTGTGTTTACTTCAGTTAAGTTCAATTGATAAAGGAGAATACTCAATACACCTAATATTTAAGAGCTGTTAGTGCTGCTGGGAGATTGCACAAAGATAACTCTAACATTGCTGTGTGTAATCTAATCTTTAGCTTTATTCATTTTTGAAGAGATTTTTAATGTTCCCCCAGCCCTTCAAACTACAAACTGCCACTTTCTTGAGCAGTTCATTAAAATGCCCGCTGTGTGTCTCTTTGCCCCCTCCAGACATTCTTCCATGACGAGTGCAAGTTCAAGGAGAGCTTGCTCGCCAACAACTACAACGCCTACGAGTCTCTGGTTTACAGAGGCTCCTACATAGCACTCAGCAAGCATGGCCGCGTGAAGAGAGGCAACAAGGCCACCACTGCCATGACTGTAACGCACTTCCTACCCCGAATATGATGAGCAAAAACTGGCAATAACAAACTTATTTGCACATGTGGATTATTTCCCAGGTAACATAAATACTGTATACGTACGTACAAACACAAAAGACAACTTGGACTTTAAAAGAAAGAAATACCACTATATATGATAGTATTTATTCAAACTTTATATGTATATTTGGGTAGCTTCCTTTGTATTAGAAATTATGGAAATGCCATTCTTTGCTGCTTTTATGATTTTCATCATTTTTGTGATATAACGGGGATGGAGAGGTGTCATTTATCCCCTCAGTTTATATGGGTGCTGCTGGAATTGGTTGAGTCCTTGCCCTGTCAGTGGATGACAGTTCTTCCTTTTGAAAATGAAATGGATACGTTATTACCTCAAAGCACCATTTCCTGAAGGGGAAGAAGAAGAAGAAGAAGAAAAAGAGAAATGTGTGCATGAAATTTCTACAGAGAAGAATGCCTGTTTACTGAAAATGTTTTTTTGTTGTCATCCATCAAGGATTTGAGCGCTTCCCATTCTCTCTATGTTCAATTGTCTCTGTCACTGTCACGGCAACTATAGGGCACTTTCTGGTGTTTTATGTTGCTTCGTCATGAGGTGGCGGTGCCTTGAATTCCTACTTGCGGGGCCCCCTTGCCCTTGCATGCAAGAAACACGGTGCTCAAGTCAGAAATAGGAATGAAACGCAAGTCATCACTCCCTCAGACACCACCGGGAGGCTTTAGCCCCAATTCCTAGAAGGCCAGAGGTTTCTCCACTTTATTTTCTTTCCATAATTAGATCAATTAAGTAATTGAGACTCAATGCCGCACAGGCACCCAGTGGAGCCTCTTGCTAATATGGAAAGCTAGATTTAGAGTCAGCACTCATCCGCCCCCTATCATGTCCAAGGGAGCTTTGACAATCCCAGGTTTTGCTTTCACAAATTTTGTAGCCGGATCATCAGGCCAGATTGAGTGTGTGACTGTGTAGTAAATATGTGGGCATGCATTTCTTTCAAGTATATATGTGGACATGCTCAGTTTGAGAGCTTCTCAATTTGAAAGGCTTTTTTTCCCTCATTGTTGGAGGTCAAGGGGGCGTCTGTGTAACAGAATATCATAGACTTGACACTATGAAGGGAAATGTCCTCCATTTATGTCTGCTGTATATCTCCCTCCAGTTCAAATTGAGTTCTGTTTGATCATCAGAATCTGTTGCATCTGGCCTGTAGCCTTGCTAGTTTATTCGATTTCAGTTTCGAAAATTTGTTTTGGAAATGTTGACTTTATAGCAAAAGTGAAGATGGGAGCTGTTTGACTTTCACACAGGTTTGATGATATTTGGCACATAGAGTACGGTGTTTGTGACAGTGCATATCAATGAGGCAATCCACTGTTAATATGATGGTCTGCTGCCATCATTTGAAATAGTGTAGATACTCTGGTTTGGTTTAGAGGGAACTGGAACTGCTTCAGAGTTCATCATCCTGGGATATGTGAACAATACTTCAGGGAACTCAGTCCATCTGACATTTATATGATGTGGATTGCACTCATTGGTCCCAGATTCTTAAGCTATTTATGCATTATTTAGATTAGCCGCTGAGTCACAGGATGGCTTCTTGTAAAAAACAAAGAAAAAAAGAAAGACGAGCAATGTTGCAAAAAGCAGTGAACCAAAGGATTATAATAGCGACGTTCATCCGGGGCTTTGTGTGCAGCATACCATACTTGAATTCAACAACTGCTCGTGCTCCTCTTTCAGATACCGTAGTTTTCCATTGTGGAAACGAAGGGGGTGAGGAGGACAAAGAGCAAGCAAAGTTGAAGATAGCAATGATGTACAGATGACTTAGATGGCACTCAGCATGTGGCACTGGTTGTTTGTTTAACTTGGCGAGGATGTGAATAATGTGGGGTAAAATACCTGAGCGTCAGACTAGTGGGCCCGTCGTCGGTTGATGTCAGACTGGACGGTCAGCACAGGGCCCTGGGATTCTTTTCCCATTGTGGGCTTTCTGCCCTTTGTGTTACTGATGGAGGCGTGTTTTCTGGCCCATCTCAGCGACTTTTGTCGTCTTACGGAGCTCTGCGCCTGTTATTTCTTCTTCAAGACATGAATGGTTGTCTTGTCATGTGCAATGAAGATATGAATGATTCTGCATCCTTTCTCGTACTCCTGAGCAGAGTTAATGTTGAAATGTGGTGCGACTGAGCTAGATGTTTAATGATTTTGGATTCCGTTATTCTATTTTGGTACTTGACCTGCAATATTCTGTAAGTAGCAGAATATGTAAGTAGCAGGCCAGTTTGGTGACATATGATTAAAGGAAAGTAACAAGGCTATTATAGATGTATAGTTATCATATTTTACCTCATGCTCTTTCTAACATTACTGTAACACATTGACAAAATGTCTGTGAGCTATGGTTTACGTGCTCTTTAAGCTCCAGCTGTCTAGTAGCAGAGACGAATGTGTTTGTAAGCATGTGTGTGTGTGTGTGTGTGTGTGTGTGTGCATGTGTCCAACTGAGTGCACTCCTGTCATGTTCTGTTTCTGCCAAAAGCGACAGTAGAGATGGTATCAGATGGATTTATCTTGAGTCAGGAATAACAGGGCATTGTCTGACTGTGCGAGCTGATGTACTGTACTCTCCTCACAGGAGAGGATTAAAAGGCGAGAGGGATGTGTGCTAAGAGCAAGCACTGACTGTGGTCTGAGCTGGTAGTTATGTAGCAAAAGGCCACTTAAAAAGAATCAAACGCTTCCAGGAAAGGGACACTTGAGTTGAACAAGTTGTCCGGTATATACTGTGATCCGAGAGAACAAGCGTAGAGTCCCAGGATGTCACGTTTAATGTTTTTGAGTATTGACACCTTTGATAACTGCGTTTGGGGGATTTTTCCTTGAGCATCTTATTACTCATTCTGACTAATAAGTCTTTATTTATTACATAACCTTTTTTTTATGCACTGATTTTGTGGCGGTGAGGATTAGGTTGGAGAAGTATTTTGGCTAATTGGTCAAAATATATATATATAAAAAAGTTAATTTTCATTTTTTATGGAGTAATATTTACTGAGCAGGGGTGGTATGTTGTTTTCCCTTGCTAAGCTTTCATCAAAACAAGCACACATGCAAGATCACAAACACTTGTTTTTGATGACAACATTGTGATTATTACCGGATGTCATTTCTGATTTATTTTGCTATGTTTCAGAGGACACTGTCAGCACAACAAGCCATGAGTTGAATGGGAATTGTAAAGTCGCAATGGCTCCTCAAGTAGTAAGGGACACCTGATAAGTTGTGTACACAAAAAGCAACTTAGCTTGGTGTCAGATTTTCAAAGCTTGAGAAATATTACTCTGTTACAAGTCCTGCAACTTTTGCATGATGTTGTTTTCGAGAGGCAGAAAAAGGTTGTGCGATTTAGAAGAAACTGAGAGAAGGTTTGTTACTGATATACCATCTTTCAACATTAACACATCCTTAATTCTGCAATATGCATGTAGAGAATGGACTAGGTATGTGTTCCACCCTTTGATTAAGGATCCAGTGTCTGGATTTTGCCATTGTGCTTCTCATACCTGTTCAGCTGGTTTTAAAATGTGTTGGTTCACAGGGAACTGGTTCACAGGGAGGATCTGGGATCAGACTTGTGTGTGTGTGTGTGTGTGTGTGTGTGTGTGTGTGTCTGAGTGTGTGCGTGTGTCCCTGTGTGCCGGCAGCCTTTGTGTTTCTCTCTCAGTTTTCTATTCCTGCACTGAGGGGAGAGTGCTTCCTCTGAGTCCCCCTCCTCTTTTTTAACATATACCTCACCTTCTGCCTTAGTTCCGATTATTGAAATGATTGTAAATTAGTTTGAGACAACAGACTTCTCCAATCATTTGTTTCTGAAAAAAAAATATGATGATGAGTAAGTAAAATACTATATTACAAATGGTTTTCCTTTTATTTTTGTACGTATGTGCTGTGCACAGCAGTCAACTGTATTCCTGAGATGATAATAAAAGACGTTTTGTAAAAGCTGTTGTGATTCAGTGCGTTAAAGTTGCGTGGTTGCTTCTTGAGGCTTGAATGGAGATTATTAGAGGAACTGGGGAAGAAGCTGTGAATGCCTGTGACAATGTTAAACCTCAAGCCAAAGTCATGTTCAATGAATTACCATGAGTCAGTATGTGGCGCCCTCTTCTGGTGAAGGGCCACATTTAGAGGGATGATAAAGCACATGTATGGAAATGAAATTAAACGGAAGAAGAAATTAGTGCACTTTATCTTATGGTGTAATTTCCTGAGTTTCATACTAAGTTTCCAGGACACAGTTATATGTTCTGTTGGTACACTTTCAATATATTGATTTGAATTAAAATGCTAAACTATAATTGTCTACGAGGAAGCATACAAGCCAACAGCAACATGAATAAAGTTTCCAATAATAAATAAATCGTTCATTAATATTGACTTGGGTTTAAATGGAAAAGTTCTTTCAAGGAAGTTTCCCTGAAAGTTAACAACTGCTTTTGCAACTCAACATAGCAAACTAAAAATATCTCAGACCTTCGTCTCTATTTCACCTATTATTAGTACTCAGTTACAGAGTTCCTTCCAGGAAAGTTTCAAGACATGATTTACTAAAAAAAAATGATACTCTATGTTTCCGTTACTGTTTATTCTCCTCATCAATAAGCAACATATTGCCACTGCCCTCCTGAGCACCTTGAACATTTCTCTGTGGTGTAATATTCTTCCAGGGATCCCAAAGTGTGTCGTTATGCCACTGATCAGTTCCTCTGAATACACCTGACTTATACTGTTCAGATTGTAAATACATTTTTTAAAATGTCAACATTTCTGGAGCAAAAAAAGCATGAAGAATATCAGTCGATCACACAACCTGCTGAAGGAAGCAATCGTGAGGTCAAAGGGTCAAGAATTTTCAAATGATTCTCTAATGAGGTAAAAATATATTAAAAACACTATAAATTGGGCTACAAAGCTTTCAGAAATAGACACTCTGGTGAAAGGAAGTGAGAGGCAGGGGAAGTGTACATTTAATGATGAGCAAGGTAACAGAATGAACTAGTCATTAGGAGGTGCATCAGTAGTTTATACTTACGCTGTAAAGGTATAATCTACTGGCTTTGGCCTGTGGTCATTATCAGGGTTGTTCTTTATACTACAGGATTTGCTGTACTTTACTTGTAATGTTACTCAGACCAGAAGAGATATTGTTGAGAATTTTTAAAGTCTGAATGAAACAAACTTCAAGTCAAACAAAAAGGACTATACGAGTAGTTTGGGAAGCGTATATTTCTTACCGTCTTTTTGTTGATCAGAGACACGTTGAACAACCGTCTCCATCATCCTTTCACATCTTCATCCTCTCTTCTCTGCCTCTGGAGTTACAAGTTTAATCTTTATGTTGGATTTTTTTTTAAAGGTCTGAATGAAGAACAAGTTATATGATTCCATCTATAGCAGAATATTCCCACAGAGATGTTTCCATTTAGAGTGAGAAACTAATGTTCTCTAACAGATACAACAGTATTCTCCAGATTGAGCCTGCTGGAATTCTAGACTCCTAACCACGGAAAAGGTAGGCTTTGGGTCACTTTTGGTAAATGAGTTAGCCAGTTCATCGACCCTCTGTTTAAATAGACCTGTTGGACTTTCTCCTCCTCCAGTAGCTGCTCACACACACCAACCTGAACATTTGTGCTGTTAAGAGCAAAGAGAGCACGGCAGCCCCATCGATCATGCAACCGGCTTTCTTCTCACTCATCCTGATTGCCGTACATGTGTCTGTACCGGTGGTTTGTACACCGAGGCTCCGGGACCCAGAGCACCTTTTACCACATCAGCAGAGCAGCTTCAAGACAGCAGCAGCACATGCAGACACAGCAGCTGGTACCAGTCATTTCTACTTGGAGCTGAGTGGAACAATGAAAAAAGGCATTTACAGAAACCTTTTTGGTAAGTCTGCCTTCATCCATAAAAACACAGTTTGTTTCATTAAGATTATTATTACCTTCATTCTAGAAAGTAAATGCCCTTTGAACACTAAATGCAACAATTTGTCTAACTTATACTTCATTTCATTTCTCAGAGGGCAATAGCATGCTTTATATATTTATATATATATTTACATATATATAGATGGGTGTGTCATAAATGTAAAAAACAATGGACAAATTATTGTATTATTGTATCTATACATGATAATATTTTGGAAATACATGGATAGTGGATAAATATACAAATATATCTTGTAATGTAGATGTACCACGCATACTTTGCATGTCATCTAATTATTAAACAAACAATACTTCTGGCAGCCAAAAATGTTCAAAATATTCTTAACAATGCAATATATAAGAATTCATTTGTTGTCATTTATAACTAATGATGGCGTGTTTAAACCTGTTTTCTTACAGTGGTTTTGCCAGTAAGAACAGCTGCAAGCAACTTTGTGTCAATATTTGATTTAAGAAGAAAACGGTTCCTCTGTACGGACTCAAAGGGAGAGCTGTACAACTCTGTGAGTATTTTTTAGATGCACTTCATTTGAGTGAAGTCGGGAAGTGACTGCAGGGAAAACAGTAACATTTTGTATTTGTCTGCTTTTTTCTACCCAACAGAGGCAAAGGGACACAGAAGATTGTCTCTTCCAGCGCATTTGGTTAGACGTGGCGAACCACCGTGACGTGTTTTACTCTATAAATGGAGGCCGGCTGCTCGAACTGAGGGGAGCTGAGCTGCGAGTTGCTTACCAGGAGCCACCTGAACCCTCCTCCGCCCTGGTGGAGAGGTTCCTGGGTCCCTTGGTAAAGAGACAGAGGAGGAGTGAGGCGGTGAATCCCTCTGATCCACTAAGATCACACTCGCATCCTTCTCCTTCTGCCAAGGAACACAAGGATGCAGATCACCAGCAGCCCGATCAGGACCAGGCCGGTGCTGTGTCCAAAGAGACCATCACCTCCTGTGATGACCCCCTGCGGGTCTTACAGCCCAACGGGCCCGTCAGTCCTGTCAAGACTAATATTGCAGACCGAGCAGAGCAGGAATGAGATACTGAACTTGAGTTTAATGAGTGAAAAGTCAAGCCGCAAGCCTTCTTGTTTGTTCTGAAGTCGCTTTATGTTTGACTGCATAGTGGGAGTAGATACTCCACTGGACTGCGGTATCAGTGGGAGCCACAGAATGGCTTGCAAAGGGCTGGTAGAGTCAAACCGACACTGCAGGGGAAAGCATTATATATTTACAACTTCTGAAAAACAGATATTTCATAAAATCATTGAATCTTCAGAATTTGTTTTAATGGTACCATGTTACATCACAGCAGCTTGTACAGATCTTGTGTTTGAATAGCAGATGAAGGATAAGTTTGGCAACATGCAGCAAGTCCTGCTGACCTCTTCCGTCAGTTCAATTTTAAACCTTGGGTCGGATGTGGCAATGTTTGTTTTTGCATATGTAAAAATGTGTAATCTGTACGTAATTATGAATATTTATACATACATTTGTTGATACAGTAAAGCTTCATACAAGGAGTTTACAAACTAAACTAAAAATAGACCAGCGCAAACTGAAAAAACAAATCAGCCTTTTCCTCAGATAATACAGTCATAAACAGAATCAAATCCAGGTGCCGGACACCAATAATCACAGCGATGAAAAGGTATTTATTTATTGAAATGTGTGAAATGACTTTCTTCTTAGCCAACTGTTTTATTATTTATACATTTCATGTTGTGTTATTTCTTATGTGAAAAAAATAAATGGTAACTACTCAGTGGATTGTCTGTGTGATGTGTCTATACTTACTTTCTATAGCAAATCCTGCATATTGAAGGAAAATCAGGAACTGGGAATGAATGTGGGTCTCGTGTTATTAACTCTCCTCTTGGGTTCACGTTTTCATTTGGGGTCCTTTACAACAAAATACCAGTAAGTGCCTCACCGACGTTTTCTGTCGTTGGTTATGGCGATGACAGTAACCGGTCACTTAGGACACCTGCATGAAACCTACTAGAAGTATTTTTCCCACCAACCAACACAATCACATGGTTATTATGCACACAGCCAATTGGTTATGTAACTAGCAAATATTAGACCTGGACAAATAATGTCCAAAAGAAGTAATGCGCATCAAACAAATGTATGCGAATGAAGGAGCATGCTTACTTAAATGGAAATGTTCTCAGCTAGGATATGTTTATAAATCAAAATGTAAAATCAAAGATTTATACTATGCAAAGATGAACAAATGAGAGCCAGAGTAGACTGAATGTGGTTTTTATTGGGAAAAGATCTTTCATCGCTGTTGGCAAGTTTCCACAGATACCTTACTCTGACACAGAAACATGTAACGGCTACATTTTCTGATTTAAGAAATATTCTAACCTGCTCAAGTCTGACGGCGATCCTGGTGTTTTCAATTGCAGGATCACAGAGACAACAGCTGAGAGTGCCGTGAAAAGTGGAGAAACCACATGCTACAGTACAACACACAGCATGCATGCACTGTTTCTAGTATGCATTTGCCCTCGTTGACCCAAGTGTTCATTCCAAGCAATGAAAAAGTCACTGATTTCCCAAAAAGTCAACACTGATGCAGTTCTGCGCTGTGTTCCTACGTAGGATCTATGAACTTCCGGAGAGTAAATATAGAAACATGGACTCATTAGAGCACAAAGCTGCCCACGTGTACAGTAATGAACAGCCAGACAAGTGACGACACAAACCGTCTATGAGTTGAAATAAAGGTGATCAACTCATGAAACAGCATTATATACCCTGAAAATAGAACAAATCAGATTTTGTTTTAGGCCACAGTATCAAATATTGATGACTTTAAACTCGAGGTCTGAATTCCATCAATTTAAGAATACTATAATGTGTTTTTAAGATACTGCCTCTGGTAAACTATACAAACAATCAACAGCACCTGGATACTGGACCTTAGATTTATTCTTAATTACATTTGTAAAAACAAGCTAGGAAAATTGTAAACTTTCAGTGTTGTCTCTTACGTCATTTAGCTCCTACTTTTTAACATGCCCCCCCCCCCTGTGGACGAACACACAGCGGATCCCTGACAATTTGAACCGGTCATCCTCTTTTCTCATGGTAAGTAAAAACCGACACAGACCCGTGTTGGGACTTAAAGCGAACATATGTGCTTTGTCGGAGCCCGGAGGCAAGGAGCAATGTAACTCTTCCACGAAGAAACGCACCGCCACGCACATGTAGGCGCCGTGGGTGACGACCAAAGCGTGGACCGGGACACCCCTGACCCCATCGTCCGCCTGCCCCTCCACGGGGGATGTTTCTGACTGAGCGGAGAAGGAGCTCTCATCCTCCCCTCTGTCACGCCAGTGTTCGGCCCCAATTTGCTGGAGAGTTTTCTCCAAAAACTCTTTGACCCGCTCTTTCACCTGAACAGAGCACAACACATCGGTTATGAACTGCGCCATGCTTCTCTTGCATTGTCTTTCTTCACAAACATGTGACGACCTGCAACTGTGAGGGATGAAAGTTGTAGGTTGTTATCGTCAAGACAACGTAGTTTACAACCTTTCCCCATCAAAAACACACAAGCCAGCTTTTCAGTTTCGTCCTGATTCAACAACCTGTAACTGGTCGGGGAGAAGCTGGGACGGAGGCACGTAGCCGACGCTGATTGGGGCGCTTGCTGCTTACGTCAAATCCATCTTTGTATATCTGCATCATCATCATGATGTGCTGGTCACGTACTGGGATGGACCAGAGTTAACGTCCAAGCCAAGATCTAATGGATGAAGCCCGCATGAGGCATTTTTGAAATAGAACATCCCTCCTTCCGACGCCCCCTCTCACACCTTCCTCCCACACAGCCTCTAACACAAAGCGAAGTGGTGACTTTTTAATCAGGAGCAGTGACTAACACTCTGCAGTTGTTTGACAGTGGAAGGGCATGGACTTTGATCCTCCTGACTCACACACACACACACACACACACACACACACACACACACACACACAC